CAAAAAACGGACAGGATCAGTAGGTGCGGAGCACCCTACTGGTCCAGCAACGTCAAGAGAATTTGTAGGCCTCTTGATGAAGGTTGCTCCCAACACACAAACGTTGTGCGTTGCTGCTCTAGGTAATGAGGTCTCACTCATTACCTTGAAACTCGAAGTGACGAATAAGTTGTCCCTTCGAGCTCTAGTCGATTGTGGGGCGTCTAACAATTTTGTGCGACGCCAATCGCTAGAAGATGGTCACTTTAAGTTCAGTGAATGTGACACACCTCCTACGAGGATGACGGTACGTCTTGCGACAGGCGCATCCGTAACCGTCATGAAGCGTATAGTGAGGATCCACTCCATGCTTGAAGATGCCCAATATGACGATGACTTTATCGCATTGGATTTGGATGACAAATTTGATGTCATCCTTGGAATACCGTGGCTCAGAATGTACGAACCACGGGTTAACTGGCAACATCGAACAGTAACGATGCCTGCTGCTTGTTCATCAGATGGCCATCTGATGAACGTTTTGGAGCGTCCACAAGCGTGTGGATGTACTACGAGTGAGTGCGATGGCCTCACTTGTGGTGCGGTCGTTAGTACGACTGCACAAAACCTTAGTGTGACAAACGGTTACACTTCGGAGCAAAGTTCCGGCGGCTGTGAGGAAACACAGGCTGCGCCGAAGGTCCACCACTCGAATAAGTCGGGTGGACTGGGACAAAGATGTATCTCTAGCGGGGAACATCTAGAAGAGAAACCATCGATCGCTCAGATTAAGCGAAGCGATAATCCTAGATCGACTGGAGAGTCTTTCGTAGAGGATCTCGCTGTGGTTGCGCAACCCCAGCTAGAGGAAGTTAAGGGAATAAGTCCCGATAATACAAATACGGCGGAAATAAGTTCCCCGAAACCCGCGGGAATAAGTCCCCGGGATGCCAAAGGAATAAGTCCTTCGAAGCCTGAGGGAATGAGTCCTCAGGAAATGACAGAGACATTGAATGTCCTAGTCAATGATGGATCAATTGTAGGCGCTTATACACTTGATCTGATTGCGCCTCCGAAGTTGACTTTGGAGATCACTCAGTTGCCAACGCTCGAACATAAAAGGTTATTGCGTGATCTGCGTAGTGGCAAAGTCAAGCAGATCTGCGTACTCGTCGCTGACGACGAGTGTGCAACCGACATAAGGTCAGCAACAGTGTTCACTGAGAACGAGAGAGTTTTCAGTAGTTCATCGATGGACGAGAGTGTCCTCGATGAAAAGACACGAGTTGAGCGACATGACTCCCAATCGTGGGAATCGCTCAAGCCAAATCCTCTCTATGAAGATTTGGTTGAATTCAAGGATGTATTCCCTGAAACTGTTACGCGCGAGTTACCGAAGGATAAAGGTATTCGACACGAGGTCGAGATTAAACCAGGCTCGAAGTACTGTGTCACGAAGCAGTGGCCACTGCCTCGTGAACAAGTACTTGCGATCTACAAGTTCTTTGCCGATCGTTTAGCTGCGGGCCATGTGAGGGAATCAACTTCCCCACATAGCTCTCCGACCTTCTGTGTGCGAAAAGCAACAGGAGGGTGGCTGGTAGTGCATGCATTTAACAAGTTGAATGCTGCAACGGTACCGGCTCAGACGCCGATACCGAGGAAGGACGTAATCATTGATGGTATGTCAAAGAGTACCATCTTTTCGTCCATGGATTTGATGGATGGCTTCTATCAGATCCTCATGCGAGAACGGGATATACCATACCGCAGTTAGCACGCCTAGCGGCATTCTCTGGGAATGGCTAGTAATGCCACAAAGGCTTAGTAATGCCCCTGCCACGTTCAACAGATGTGTATCACGTTCAACAGATGTGTATCACGTCTGTTGAGACCAGTACGAGAATTCGCGCCGAGTTGTTTCGATGACGTATTCATCCATAGTCGAGCTATGGATGGAAAGTCGGACGTTGAGGTTCACAGGTACCACGTCCGACAGGTTCTACAATCATGCGAAAGCATCAATTGTATGCAAACCTCAAGAAGTGTATTTTTGCAGCAAGCAAAAACCACTTCTTGGGTGCATCAGTGGTAAGAACGGTGTACGTCCTGATCCCGAAAAGATCAAGGCGATCACCGACTGTCCTGTGCCGGTTGATGTCAAAGGTCTTCGAAAATTCCTTGGGCTAGCGGCGTATTTGCATAAGTATTCACGCAATTACGCCGAGATGACTGTGCACCTCTCTCGTTTGTTGAAAAAGAACGAGAGGTGTTTATGGAACGCTGAATGTCAGCGCTCCTTCGATGGTATCAAGCAGAGCTTGATACAATCCCCAGTCCTAGCAATAGCCGATCAGGACAGGCCATTTCATGTGGTCTGTGATGCCAGCGATTTCGCAATCGGCTGTGCATTAATGCAGTACGATCTTGAAGGCGTTGAACGCGTCGTCTGCTATCAGTCGCGTCAGCTGCAACCAGCTGAGCGGAACTATCCAGTGCATGACAAGGAACTCCTTGCCATGAATTATGCACTCGCGAAGTTCAGAGTCTATCTCTTAGGAGATAGACTCTTCACTGTTTACACTGACCATGCGTCATTACGCACGGCAGTGAACAGCCCCCACATTTCACAACGAATGGCGCGGTGGTTGTCATTCTTTGCAGAATATAACTTTACGGTCGAGTACAAACCAGGACGACTTAATGTCGTCGCTGATGCGCTCTCACGTCGGCCCGACTTTGAAACAGTCGCGAAACCCAACAGTGAGACAGTCACTGTTGCGGTTATTACGTCCTCAGTTCCATCTACAATGTTGTATGATGATGTGAGGCGGGCATACGCCCAAGATGGTGAGATAGTGAAGTTGTTGTCACATCTCTCCCAACCATCCCGAGAATCGTTGAAACGATTGTCGCCTGCGTATCGATCTGCATCAGATCGATACACTACTCGCAACGGGTTACTGTATTATACAGCCGTTACTGGTGACGCACCACGTGTTGTCATCCCAGATGATACTGATCCGCGTTTGCGGATCATGTTCGAGTATCAAGATGCTCCTATAGGAGGACATCGTGGCCGAGAGAAAACACATCTCACGGTGAGTCAAAACTTTTACAGGCCCCGCCATTATCCATTTGTGCGAAAGTATGTTCGCGCATGCGAAGTCTGTCAACGAGTGAAGTCAAATCCTTCACTGCGTTCACCTTTACAGCCTCTACCGGTTTCGCCTGAGTTCTGGGAATCCATCTCAATGAATTTCGTCTTCGGGTTACCCAAAGACGCACGCGGGAATACTGGTATTCTCGTATTTGTTGACGATTCAGCAAAATGGTACACCTTGTGGTGTACCATTTTGCTGTACCAGAGTTAATCACGGCAAGTGCCTGTGCTTGTGTCTTTATTGACACCATCTTTCGACTTCATGGGTTGCCCCGTGAACTCGTATCAGACTGAGGTCCACGCTTCACAGCTGACTTCTGGCGCTCCGTGTTCAAATCACTCGGAACGCGCTTGAAGATATCGACATCTGATCATCCAGAGTCAGATGGTCAGACGGAACGTGCCAATCGTGTCCTCGAAGAGATACTTCGACGATACGTACACTCCTTTCAGAGTTGGAGTGAGTTCTTGCCAATGGTAGAGTTTGCCATTAACATGCGTCCACTACACATACACCGTTTTACGTGAGTGGCTTACGCCATCCGCGTGTACCTACCTTAATCGAGTGTAACTATGGTTTAAGGGGGGGAGGGACTCGCGCGAGCAAAAACCGATTTGGTTCACGCTCATCACGCTCTGACGAAGAGGTCATTGCGTTTGATGCCGATATCAATAACATCGATATCGAAGAAGATGATGCCGGTGAGAGCGAGGAAGCCCTCACTGAAGACACGATTGATGTTGCTGCAGTACACTCACAGCGCACTGAAGCTAACGAGTCATCAGATGAATTCATACTGGCTCGTGAAACTGTAGTCCGTTTTGTGCGAGACTACATCGCCGAAGCGGTGGATAATCAAATGCAAAACGCTGACAAGAATGGAAGGACAAACACTCTTTTATTTAGTAAAGTTGACTTAGTCCTTCTGTATACGGTTAACCTACCAAAGCATGTAGTGACTAACTTGGGTAGTAGTAAACTTCTACCCAAGTACATCGGTGCATTTCGTGTATTGCATCGCCTAGGCAACGCACACACGATCGAACTGCCACGTAAGATGCGAACGCATCCCACGTTTTACGTTGGTCGGCTTAAGCCGTACCATCAGTACGATGTTTCTTCCGATGAAGAACGCCCTTGCGCTCAAGCAGCGCACATAGGGCCTTGTGCTCCCGATGGTGGATATCAACAAGGGTCTGAAGAGCAGTTATCTCAGCCCGAGACCGATCAAATATCCACACGAGCTACTCTTAGCTCGTCACGCAGAAATGTCAAAGCTGTCTCATTCTCAAGCTGAGCAAAAGCAAACTCATCTCGATGCTTTGAGACAGTGTCCGCCAGTTGAAGACGCCTGTCCCGCTCATGCTCGAGGTCGCCGCGTAACCCTTGCGTTACGCGATCAAAGAAGCTCTCGGGAACACACGGATCCCCACGATCGTGTGGAGAGCGTCTTTCCTCCTCCTCCACCTCCTTTGGAGGACTTTCGCGGTGGCCAGCGCAATCTGATTGAGCGGCTGTGGAGCCACCGCGACGTGAACGGACGTCGGACGAGTTATCTCTTCCGGTGGCGTGGCTATCCCCCGTACTGGGATACTTGGGAGCCCCGCTCCCAACTGATGATTGACGTACTGGGTCTGGTCGAGCAGTACGACGCGGCACATCCTGTGCCGCAGATGGACCGCCGGAGAAAGTCTCCCCGACACGGTCGTAAAGGGATTTTAGGTTGTCAATTCCTTTCGTACATCTCAGTAGAGATACGTACGCGCCACCACGGGCTATTAGGGAGGTAAGCCTCCTTCGGTGCTCGTGCAGAGTTGTTCACACAACATGGGCACGAGTTTCCCCAAGAGAGGCAGGTTAATCCTTTCTCCCTTGACAGACGATGCAGCTTGTAGCGTGCACCTGTCGGGGTTCGCTTTTCGATTTTTCACGAGCTTTGATAAGTTTGTCGTTCCAATCGTCACGACCTACATCCTCAAGGTTATGGATGTAAGCGTTCCACGCTTGAAGCAGTGATGGACCATCAAGTTTGTGATTCCCACTGTACCACCGATGTCTAAAGAAAGCATCGATGAAGAACTCATGTTCAGTGCGATAGTCTTTCGCACTGGGGTCAAGGTGATGAATCCTTGACGAATCGAACAATCGTGTTCGATAACGATCACTCGTCGTCGCCGACAAGTGATCCATGACGGATTTGGGAGGCATCCATGCCTTCTTCTCGGGAGCGAGACCCAACACACTGCGGTCCCGCTCTTCCTGCGACGTGCCGACAGAAGTACTGGTACCTCGCTGTGAAGTGGTGTCCATAGGAGAACCGACACCACTGTGAGCGCCCAAGTCTTGCGATCTCGAGCGCCTTCGCTTCGGCGATGGCTCGTCTAATTCTTCAGACGAACCAAAGATGCTACGACGCGTAGCATCATCCATGCCACGCTTGGCAGGCGGCTTGGACTCGATCGCCGTCGATACGGATCCGTCTTCCGTATCAGGAGAGTATGAGACACCGAGCTCATACTCTGTGAAGACATGAGTGTCTTCATGAAGAGCGCCTGCATCACCAGGTGACACAGGCTGAGTTGCTTCAGCAACCGATGAGGCATCAGTTGCAGCGGATTCTGCTTCGGCGTCCGCACAGAGACGTGCGGACGCGCTCTCGGCGGCCTTGCTCGCGCACCGCATGGACTTGTTAACCATGCGATGGATTGTTGGAAAGTGGACTCGGACCAACAAGTGCAAACCCTGTCCCAAATGATTTGGGACGAGTATTCATTTAGTCAATCAGTCACTAAAGTGACTGATGGTTAGGGGGGGGGTGATGTAACGGGATGAATCGTTACATAACAATTTATAAGAAATTGTTACTAGAATATAACTATTAGAGTTATATTCTCAGAATATTGTCATAAGGACAAATATTCTGCAGCACTTACGAGTAGTTCCTAATTGGTTGATATAGGCCATTATATCAACCAACGAAGACGCGCCACGACAGACGCACGCAATGAGTGGTGAGCAGATAACTGATTTACACATTTGTATTTAAACATAGTTAGATGAAGATAAATAGTGATTTATTGCAGACATTAACTATTATAAATACAGTTCTACTTTTTACTTTAACCAAGTACTCGCTTCTTCTTACCGTCTTCCTCTGCACGTACGAGTGTACGTGAAGTTACGAGGCACCGCCTTATTCTGTCATCAGAATAAGTAGCTTGTACTGTAACCAGTACAAGCTTCAGGGTGCCCCGTTACATACGTGACCTTTGCTGTGATGAAAGCGTTGATGATAAGCTTTTTTGCTCTTTGTTCGCCCTTGATCACTAAATGCTTGTCACTTGGGGCCATGGGTGCGTGTGTGTAACTTACACGCTTCTTAGTCGCAATCGGTGACCAAGTCAAAGAGTGACCTATTTTGTCGATCGACCAACGAGAATGGGACACGCTACATCGTTTTAGTAGAGCGTGTAAGGTACACTAGTGTTAATTATAGACAGGATAAAACCGGTACAGGCCTGAAACAGTTATTGAAACATCGGCATTCGCCTTGCGCACATTCACTAATAGCTTCATCCTTCGGGCTCACAATTACATTGCGGCAGATTGGGGACAGGTCAGGGCTAGTAGCGCTCGCAGCTCCGGATCGAAAAGTATGTGAGGCTATCTTACGTTAGCTTAATCCGAACAAGTAAGGAATATCCAGTTTGCGAAATTCTATGACACAGCGAAATTTATCAGATAGCACGTCACAGAGGCTCATCAGTTCTACCATTCGCCTCGAGTCGAGACCAAACCTTTTTATTAATTTAAAAAGGTCAATAATCAAGGCAAGCTCTGCAACACTTGGTCGGGAATCAGGTGGTCCACCCTAATCTAGTTACTGATCCCTAATCTGCAGCATACCACACCACAAAGTCCACGTGGCACATGTCGTGCATCACTATCAATTCGGCACACTTCATGGGTCGGACGGTCCTCCACGCGCCGAGTCCCCAGGAGTCGAGCATCCTGAACCTCTTCATTTGCATTGGCGGGATCTACATCTGTTATCTCAGCTATGGCATCTTTCAGGAAAACATGTACGCTATTGACATGATGTGCAGGACTAGTTTGATCGCTTTGAACCTCTTTCGGATCGTCATTCCCATCCTCACCATCATCTATTTCGTTGCAAAAGACGCAAATGCCTCACGATTCCTTTGTTATGATGTGATGTTTGTATCCTGGTCTGCAGTTTCACGTACCGATCGCCAAGTGGTGGCAAGTTTACTGCGACGCTCTTCATGCTGTTCGTGCAGTGCGTCACAAACTCACTCGTGGCTTATGCTGCCACATTCGTGTGGAAGCCTGAGCGGACTCGGATGCCGCTGGGTCCTTTCGCCTTTACGGCTGCAGCCTATCTAGGCGCTATGTTGTGCAGTAACGAGGCGCTCAAACACGTGAGCTTTCCGACACAAGCGCTGGGGAAATCATGCAAGATGATTCCTGTCATGCTCATGGGCGTGCTCATTCGGCGCAAGAAATACACTCTGCGGGACTACATTTGTGTCCTGGCAATCACAACGGGCATTGCGATTTTCCAGCTTGGAAAAACCTCGGCAAAACATGCCGAGCGGGAGAATAGCTCGTACGGGTTGCTGCTGCTCTTTGCCTCCCTGACGCTCGATGGCATCTCAGGCCCCAAACAGGAGGAGATTGCGCACCAGCTGCGTCCGTCGGTGCACCAGCAGATGCTCAATACCAACCTATGGGCCATTGTTTACACGGGCATCGGTGCGCTCGTTACGGGTCAGGCGCTCGAGGGCTTCTTCTTTTGCATCGAGAATCCGGCCATCCTCAACTCGGTCTTTTACTTCTCCGTGTGCAGCGCGCTGGGGCAGAATTTCATTTATTTCACCATCCAGCAGTTCTCGGCGCTTACGTGTACTACGATCACCACGACGCGCAAGTTTTTCACGATTCTCTTCTCGGTGGTCTGGTACGGCCACGAACTCAGTCCGATGTCGTGGCTCGGTGTGGCTGTCGTGTTCCTTGGCCTGGGGTGGGAGCTCTCTAGCAAGTATCAGAAGTACCAAACGCAGGGTGCCAAGCTGACTTGAAGCATCTACCAGCAACGTGTTAGATGAAAGAATGTCTTGTTCATAAAGAATCGTTCATCACAACAGCTTGCTGTATGCTTATTTTCTACGTATCTCTAGGTTATAGCTGAAAAGCCTCATGCTCGTTGGACGATTGATTCCTCACATTGTTGCCACTTGATGTAACTATCTTCGAAGTAGTACGCTGGTTGCTACCAGTGGCCGTGGTCTGGAGACAAGCGCTGCTTGAGGTAGGAGTCACCATTTGCTTTGACGCGCGGCTGACAATACCCAAGTCTAGATGCATGAGGTCAGTGTTTGTGTTCATCATCTCCAGCAAAAGGTTCTTGAGGTCTTCACCAAGTACGCTGAGATCATATTCGCCACCTTCATTTTCTAGCCAGCGCGATACTTCTTTCTGAAGTGCTGCGAGCAAATTCGGGTAGTGTTTGGCTGCCATCTTGCGAAACCGTTCTTCTTCGAGTAGTACGAGTGAATTTCCAAACAAGCGGTCCTTTTGACTAGCACTTGCTTCGAATTCAGCGATTTTGCTCTTGAACTCGTTTATTTTGTTATAGATCACCATGATTTTGCGCAGTGACTTTAGTCGGATTTGTGCGCTAACCATCGCGTTCTTCACTTCCCGAATGTCTGCGATCGAGGTGCGAAGTCGCTGCAGCTGTGAATCACCGAAAGATACTGAGTATGTCAAGTGGAACTCCTCAAACGCGGGATCAAGTCTTGATAGAAAAGAATCGTTGCACTCTGGCGCTCTTCCCAGGAATCCAATATCCGAATTGCCATCACTACTTAGCGTCTTTGCTGCATCGGATGAGTGGATGACGTACTTGTCCAGAGTGGCAAGCTGAGAGCTGTTGTCGTCTATCCTGCACCCCAAGAAAAAGCTCAGACGCTGCGCCTTTGTGTTGATACCGAAAGCTGCAAAATCGTTATCCATAGAGTACAAGAGACTGCGTAATGCGCCCTCCACGGGCTCGCTCAGACAGCACAGTATCTCTTTGCCAGCAGCAAGTGTGTCCACGAAGCTTTGATCGCCTCGAGGGATTGGAGGCAACGGAGAAGTGAAGTGGCAAAAGATGTCATCTTCGTGACCACTTAAAGCAACGTCGTGGGTCAGCATTGCAGCTTCTTCTACGATCCGGTGAAGAAAATCCAACACGTCCGATCGCCCTGCTTGAACCTCCTCGAGGCTACAAAGTACCTTGGCAAGCACCTCAAGTCTGTGCTTCCTGAAGTCAAGTCGACCACCCGTCTGATATATATGAGCACATAGATCCTCCAAAATAGTTGACTTGGTGTCAATTACGCCGTCAAAAGAATCTTCTTCGTCAAGCATTCTGCGTATTACTGACCCGACATCATCTTGGGACAGTTGAGATTTGCGCGCTATTGCCCGAATAGCCGTCGCACACTCTTTTACCTCTGCAATCCGCTTCATCTTTTCGAATAGCATGATGTTAAATATATCCTCACCCCGCTGAATTGACGTGCGCGAGAGATCTGTCCCTTCGTCTAGGCTGTCCACAAACTGGTCGAGAACGTCAGCAGCACCCGCATTCTGTGCGATCGATTTCCAGGCATCGAACTTCAATGCTATTGACTGTGAAAAGTCTGTGTCAAAGTGACCGAGGGCATCGTCAGCTACATGGCGAAAATCTTTACACGATTCAATCCGGAGGTCGCCTGATAGTTTCCGGATATCAGCAGACAGCTGGACACGCGCATTTAAATTGTGCCACAACTCATTTGAGAGGCGCTTCTGTAGCAACAGGACATACTTTTCTTGCTCCAAAAGAGACCCACCAGCCACCACGGGAAGGGATTGAATACGTAGTGGGGTATCTATTCGCAAGAATGACTCCATTCGACTAACAACACGACAGGTGTCATTAATTCGAGCTTGAATCATTTCTCTCGCAGCTTCAAGACTTTCTAGCTCTTCCGAGCACTTTTTCAGCAGTAGCCCGTTAATATCTTGAAACTTGCTTGCTTGATCTTCGTCATTAACACCTAGCTCTTGCCAGATATCCTGGCATCTCTGTAATGCAACATACACATTCAGTCTAAGCTTAACGAACAGCAAGTAAAAGGTTAGCTTACACTCATCACACGAAAGGCTTCTTCCTTCCTTTCAGCACTCCTCGCTGAAGTTCGGAGCTGATCCAATTCCAAACGCATTGCTACCATTTCCTTTTTGCTGTCCGCCAACTCAGCTATTAGCATCTTTTCGCGATCTCCCAATCGAAATATCTTGTCTGCTGCTTCAGCTTGCCCTGATGGATCGTGCACCAGCGAGTGACCGCTCGATCTTACGACGTCATTAAAACTCGTCACCATCTGAAAAGCACTTTTCAAGTCCTGCTCATATCTCGCTTCGATAGTGTCCAGCTTCGCGTCCATGTCAGTCTTCATCGCAGCCAGATTTTGCGTTATGGTTTGTTCAATCTTTTTTTGCTTTTTGGCCTCCTCCTTTTCGTCAAACGTCATGTCATTTCGCCAGTGGGAATATACCTGAACAATGAGCCTACGAATCAGGACCTTTGCCGTATCTAAGGACCCTATAGAATCAAGTGTTTCAGCCATTGTTGCTCGCTGGCACCGCCTAGCTAACATGGCTTCGCGAATTTCGGAAATGCTGTTCTCGCAGTCTTTCAAAATTCGTTCGTTTTCTTCCATGAACATGTTCTTAGTCATTCCGTCACGAAAGCAAGCTGTCGCCCCGTTTGCAATTTTGTGGATTAACTGCGTTCGCTTACGAAGTTCCTTGTTCATGGCGGCCTCGAGAATTTCGTTATCAAATGCATTCTACGATTTAATTATTTGCAATAATGTCAGTATGAGCATGCGGTTAGTCAAAGCAGGTCTAGCGAGCGCGAAGTAGCTCGAGACGTACCCGGAGTTGGTCGTGAATCATCGAGTATATCTCACAATGCTGCGACAAGGCCAACTCTTCCTTTGTGAATAGAGGCGATGTGAAGGAAATTGTTCCATCACCTCCAGCTATACAAGCTGCTAATTCCTTTTCTTCGTCCATAAGAAGTTCTGATATGCTATCTAGACCATAGCTATCGAAGCGCAACTGGAAGACGTACAACTTGTCAGCCGAAGTAAGTATGACAAGAACTGTGACGATTTCCCAACACATTACCTCGATTTCGGTCTTCCAGATCAACGCGTCCAGCGTATTGGTTGTGGTTTTGTCTTGAGCCTCTCTCATTTCATTGAGTTGGTCGTGTTTAGCTATCCACTCTTTTTGGCAGCACTCCAGCGCCAACTGTTGATCACAACTAAGCCTAGTTATTTGGTCTTTTAGGTCCTCCATTCCAATAGCCATCGAAGCCAATTTTCCTTGCGCGGCTTCTACGCTACTCCTGATGCTTCGTCTTGTATCTTGGGTCATTGTTGACGAAGAAAGCCATGTTTGCATTCTGTCTATCATACCAGACAACCCATCTCGCAAAAACTCCTGGCGACGATACTGCGTCTCCAACTTTGTACGCTTAGCATCCACCGATTGTCGTAGCTCCTTTTCTCCTCGTTGAATCTCGAGCATTTCGAACGCAAAGCTCATAATTCCCAATGTGCGGCACAACTTCCCCAGCGAACAAGTAGTTGCAAAAGCCTCGTCTGCGTCAGGGTTTCCTTCTTCTAGTATTACCATAGAAGAGCCAATATCGCCTCCAGAGTCAGGAGGTTCACCTCGACGCGGGATTCTCTTGGGTTCGTTTTCAATTCCGCTTGTCAAAGAAGCAGCTCGTCGGTATCCTTTTTTGGACGCTAACCCACATAGATGAGACGTGAGGCTACTGAGCAGGCGCCGTACTTCGAGTGTGCGCTCATTACTTGACAACATCAAATCTGCTGATGCTGATAGCTGTTCGATGCTACCAAAGTATGACAAAACCTCTGGGTTTGACATACAGACATCTGCTAAACTATCTATGTCACCATGAGCCCCTCTTTTATATTCCGCGAGAACAGCCTTCACGAGCTCGCGGCACAAGAGCTGATTATAAGCTTTTGAGTTTGCCAACTCAGCAGAGCGGCTATTGATATTCTTCACAGCCTTGTTTTGAATATTCTTAGCGCGGTTTGCGTACACGAGTGTATTCAAAGTCTCGTTTGCATGCAAGTCTACAGAAGACACACATGCACTACATAAGTTTAGATTAAATTTATAAAAGGAACGTCAAAATGCTGTCTTGCATCAATCGTAATATAAAACACGGTACATACATGAATAGAGTCCGACTGTTCCCACCAAGGGCGGCCTGAAGTAACCTCGTAAGCTTTGAAGACCTGTACGGAACGTGAAGCTTGGAGTGTCCCCGGCGCTTGTCATCTCCAAGTGCGTTTATGACATTGCCGAGAGCAAATAGTCCGGCATTGATTTGAATGCCCTCTTTCATACGATCACCCTCCGCAAGCGTCTTTTTTAGTCGCTCGCTTCCTGCTAAGTCCACGAATGTAAGTTTTGACACGATAACCGCATCGGACTCGATTGCGTCCGTTGCCACATCATTGCTGCTGCTCGATCCGACTGCAAGCTTATTCGATTTCTTCAGATTGAAATTCTGGCCCGACACTCGCTGGACAATCTTCACCGTGTACACAGCGTGTGACCGACTAGACTGTTCATTCATCTGTGTGCTGGCGGTAATACGCTGTAACGCTCCTCGTTGCATATGGTCAAGGGCTTCTTGTCGACTCGACACGCGCACCTCCTTCAATCCCTGTACCCACACACCATTTTTCGCGTTCTCTCGCAGCTGCAGCGACTCTGGCCGTCGACCCAACCTCTGCGTCGCTGGACTGTCCAGTAAATCATAAATGTCCTGTCCGTAAATCTCCAAAAACGACACTGACAGCTCCACATTGCGCTTCTTCTCGTCCAGCTTTGTAAATAAATGATGCAGAAATCGAGGAATTAACCCTTCGTTGTTATCCAGTGCATCAAAAAACTCCTCGTCAGTGCTATCATCACAACTAGGAGGACTCGCAAACATACTGTTGGCCACCATACACGCTGATGGCATGTTATTGCCCATAGTGTATGTTTTGCCGGACCCTGTCTGTCCATACGCGATCACTGTCACATTGAACCCCTGTAGAAACGATTCCATCCAAGGATGCAGTACTTCGTCGTACACTTCAGTCTGCTGAACGGCTTGCGAAAAGACATGATCAAACCTGTCATATAGAATAGCGATCGTCAGTATAATCCAATCTTCCATGTGTACTAAAATTAGAACATCACATTGTAATTCCAACATTGTCAAACATTGTAGCAATCAATGCATTCAGTTCTAGAATGCAGCGCCATCAGAGACAATTCATACAAACGGACAGACGCACGTGAACTGCTTCGCGGGATGCGCGCCGGCCGTGACTTGCACGGTATTTGCACTGTCTCTTAGCGTCTTGACACACGTCACAGCATTACGTGCGAGCTCCCAAGGCAGCGGCGGACGAATCCGCACAGCAACGCGGACACTGCCGTCTTTCCTCGCCTCCACGAGCGGTTCCAGCGGCCGTCCACGCGTCTCTTTCTCGGAGCCGCAAGAAGAGCTCTGACTGCTTCGTGCGTCGTCGTCATCGGCGCTTCGTGACGCGTGGCGTTTGAGATTGACGGGCGCGACCGAGAGCTTCGCGCGGTGCTGCATCTTGCTCTCGTTGATTGTTGAATAGCCGGGACGTCGCCTTATTTTAGCCAATAAGAAGGAGATGGACGATGGGGACAAGATGTGTTTATCGAGGTTTTGTCTGGACCGTAGGCTGGGAAAATCTGCACCGTGCCCAAATCCCGTGTCCACTGATATAAGTGATTATGAACGTAGTTACCGTGTTTTACGTTTCTTTTCTCAAGTACCGACCTCATACACGACACAACATCAGATAGTAAAAAAAAAAACTGGTCAATCTCATTGACGTCCGTTTGGCATTTTAGCATCAGACAGCGTGCTAGAAAACATCCTATTAGCCAAATGTCTACATATCATCACACGCTGAAACGATGGTCGATCAGCAAAGTGACAAATCCTGCGCTATGCTACAGCATCCTCGTTACATTACGCCTTTGCTACACCTTAATTTAAGTGACGATCCATTTAAAGTGATGGAAACGTACGTACTTCATGACACCAAGCAATAAACGTGCGAATACCGTGTAAAGAAGTGAGCGTACGATTACACGGCTGAGGCCTCCCGTCTTCTCCATTAACATTTGCATAGTGCCCACATCTTCACTCCAAGGAGGAAAGGCAGCAACGCCCTAGAGCGCCATAGAGCAATTGCCAGCTCTCTCTTCTGGGGAGAGGCCAAGAGGCAATCGAGACCCTCATACAGCCCTTCACCCATCGTGGCACGATACACCAGGATAACCGCTGCTGGCACAGACCGTGCAGACACAGCTTGTCCGTCACTTCAGCTGCGCTCATGGCGTTCGATAGATCCTGCTTGTTTGAAAACACTATCAACAATGAGTCCCGCATCTCATCCTTGTTCAGCATGCGGTGCAGTGTTTACTCGTTCAGCAAGCGGAGCAGCTCGCCCTCGACAGCATCCACACGATCTCCATCGTAAATGTCGACCTCAAAGATAAGTCTCTGTGTGTTCTTATAGTAGTGGCGCCAAAGCGGACGGATCTTGTCCTGTCCACCAAAGCCTTGCGCCTTGCAGCTAATGTTCTTGTATCTTGCCGTCACGATGTTAAATCCTACCATCGAGTCAGAGCCACAAATTCAGTTAGTCTGCTGTCCCCGATCCGATACAAACAACAGAGTACCAAGCACCGGGGCAAGAAGTTCTATTCTTTACATAATGCAGCTACAGAAATCTCTTCAACAACCGATAGTCGGAATGGTCGTGCCACTTCTCCCAGCTTGAGCTTGTACAATATCGTGGTCAATCGGCATCGTCAAGACCGACCATGATGATGCCCATTTCCCTCTTGCCGAAGATGCGTTTAAAGACGCGCGAGAAAGCCATACCCACGATTGCTGACATGTCTTCTTGGCAGCTATGCATCGGTAGGTGGCCATCTTTTACTACCGGGATTCTTATAGTGAGCAGTGCGGGCGAATACACGAAACACGTTATTCGCCCGGGGTCTATTCACTTTGAAACCTGCAAGATCCATCACTTTACCCTTCGCCGAATGGTTCGAGCTATAATCTTTTTTTTCACAATTATATTATAACTCGAACCACTTTAATCCTTAAATCAGTAGGTACGAGATTTGGGCACGGTGCAGATTTTCCTGGCGTACGGTTCAGACAAACCCGGTTAATTTGGGATGATCTGCTGTAGTTCTATTTTACAAAAAACGTGATCAGCATCCGCATGTGGTCGTTTAGGAAGGCCTAAAGTGGCATCATACCGTGCGTTGAAGTTTAGGCAAGTACGAACTGTAACATAGTGGCAGCATGCTGACGGACTCTTCTCAGCAATTGTGCTCATCTATTGTGTAGAGAACCAGCTTCCGTCCTTGATGTGGTAAACGGAACTGATGTTCATAATCTTCTTTCAACAAACTCCTGCCTTCCTACTACTATGTATTTGATCTCGTGTCCCACAGTGTACAACACCAACCTCCTTCTGTGACTTCACATACCGTTGCATTCGCACCTCCTTCCCATATTAAGACTTCACATTCCATTTGACATCCGTCGTAGCTTTCATAGTGTGTGACAGGAACTCACCCTTCTGTTTGTATTCTGTGTGCAGTATTGTCGCCCCAATGAAGTGCTTCATACATCACGCCTCCCTCGAGGCTGGCCTCGCATGCCAATCATGCCTAAATAGATGCGCAAGTCTCTTCTTATCAAGTTCCTGTGTGATACCATCCACCAGATTGACCTGAACTATGCATTTTGCCAAGCGACGCTGTTTTAAGCTTAGCCCGCTCTCGCACGAAAGGCCGTCGCAGTTCGATGTTTCTTGCGCGGGTTGAATACGTTGGATCTACTGCCAGAAATAAGCACTTGATGCGTTAATACACGGTAAGCGCAGCATTACAGCAATCTTGGCACAAAGTTGAGATGCGGCATTCTTCGATCGGGATGAAGTAATGACGTACCGCAAGAAAGATCCAAGGAGCGAGTAATAAAGCACAACGTAATCTTAGGCAAGAAAGCGGCAAGGGCGTGATGGCAATTCGTTAAACCGACGATTACAGTAGTAGCACACGATCCGGTGCCTTGTTAAAAGGGATCAGCTTTTTTTGGAGTGACTGCGATAAACGAGTCGACTGTATATGCAGCTATTTGATCCACGAATTTGTACCATGTTCCAAGGATGAAGTTGTACAGCGAGCGTGAATTGTTGTTCGTCAATAAAGAAAGTGACGATGGCATCCACAGCGTACTTGCTGTCAAAAGTTTGCCATAAACGACGTCCGCTCGGTTCATGCGAACCTTGAGTCAACACAGTGGCGCATTCTTGTTTATCTGGTTCTCTTCAGGTTCATTGGATCTGCTATAGTTGGACTGCTAGCCACGCATGTATGTTCAAAAGACATCAACTGTTCGTCAATTGTTCAACAGCAACCGCCTTCTCTATCGTGTACGTTTTCTCGCAGTCAATATGTTCCAGTAGAACTACGGTTTGTTCAAAACTGCTGGGTTCACTCTTCTCTTGCGCAGGAATAGCAGGCTGAACCCTTCTAACAAACGTGATGACAACTTGGTAGATATCACTCATCTAAAACTGTGAGCCCTTCTTATTGCCGATACCCTTCTCATTTGCGTCCTTCCAGTCATCCCAAACTCGGTCCTTGTACGCAGCCTCTTCCACTAATGCCTCATCGTCCTCATCTCCGTCTTCCACAAGCTGGTCATACCGACGCGGCCCCTGTGGAGCCTCCCTGCTCAAGTGGTACCAAACACATTACACAATCCACACATTATGCCACAAAGCTACGCTCATCGATCCTGCACAAAACGTACTGTGCTCTTTTCTGGCGTTCCGTGGCGTCAGCCACCTCGCGATCCGCATACTCCGCCAATGACATTGTCGGAAGACGGTGACCAGGCCGGAACACTCCTGATCGGATCGTCTCACGTTGCATCTCCATCTGTGGATTGATCCGCGTCACTTCCTGTGTCATTTACACACGATCCCAAAGCACGAGAATCAGCCCAATTAGCCGCAATAAGGTCAACCTCAATCATTGCGATCCTGCTCGTACAATGCCTTGTCCCTGAGGAGGCGCAGTCGGGCGGTGCACGTCCGAGAACAAATCACGTGTGTCTGTAGCCGCGTTCATCGCGATCATAGTCTCGAGCATGTCTTTTTCCTGATTAATACTCGTCTGCTCCTCCATACACTTGACAACAGCCAACTGAATAAACATCAAGAGCTGCTCGCGCTCCAACTCATCCACGTCGTCATCGTCCAGACCGTCCACGTCCTCCTCTCCTTGTGCATTGCCAAGACCAGTATCTCGTTTCTCTTCACGTCGTCTCTGCACTTGCTGCAACTTGTGCGTCATCTCTCGCTGCAGCTGGAACTGCTGAATTTTTTCATCTCTCGAGAGCGAAAATTGCTTCGTCTCCAGCCGCTCGTACTGCTCGCGACGTTTCGTTTCGGTCAAAAGGCCATACTTCTCGGCACGGTCAAGAAATTCGGTCAAAAAAGCATCTGCTTCGCACAGGACCGTGATGCGGTGCATTACGTTGCGCTTGTGGTCCGAGGCTGGCTTATGTTGCCCATCCTGCTCTACCCGACGGTCTTTTCCGGCAACATTGTGCTGGAACCCCACCTGTTTTGGGACGAGCATGCCTAGATAATATTCCATACAAAACGCATAAAGTTGCGCGTTCTGCAACTCAAAGAACCGCTCGTTCGCCGACAAGATGCTGTCCAGTTGCCGCTGCTCGAGACACTTCTTCATCAACTGCAACGACTGCGCCAGCTGAAGCTGAAAAGCTGTGGAGTTGGAGTCGCACGCGGCGGCCGTGGGATTCGCCAGCATCACGAAGCGACGGTGCGCCTCCTCGTAGCTCACACGGTCCGGGAGGGATACGGGCGAAGTCATGATGTGTCCGAGGGTGGCAAGGAGCAACTTAAGAGAAATTAGACGGGAGGGTTGTGTGGTCCACATTGTTCAGACAAAACGCATTTCCATCATCTAGTTACGTGGATTAAACTGCGTTTCAAATGGCGGTTTTACTCTTGGTTTTACGTAATCGCAGCGAAACACGCGCGGTCATCTAAAGCCATGGCAATTCGTCCGCCCTGCGCAGCCGCAACTCGAGTCTTCGGGTCCAGTCACGCCAAGTGTTTCACCGCTTACTCTTTCTTGCCGGTGCCTGTGGCCATCGAAATCTCGCCACGGATACTCTGGGCGAATCCCAGCCCCATGCCGAGGAACATTCCCGTGAGAAGGAGCCGGTCGGACGGGCGCTTGACGTATGTTGGATCCTTGGACGTCAAGAACAGGTGCTGGTCATCCGGGACGTGGCTCTTCTTGTTCACGAGGCTTGAAATAGCTCTACGCTGGGCACTGGAGCGGACGAGGCGACTGGTCTGGCGGGCAACCATCGTTTTCGGTCGGATGTTAATGGAGAATAAGCGCTTTTAAAAGAGCGGGGGCAAAGCAGAACCTCACAATTGATACACAATTTCGAGTCCTCACAACTTATTTATTATTTGTACCATAATAAACAAACTATGTACCATGTATATCGTGAATACTGCCCGCGGAAGTGTGGTTGGAATGACATAGTTGCATAGTTTTGCATGTTTAAGCACAGCAGAGTCCTGGCTAAATAAAACATACAATGTAAAGCTGTAGGCAAGATGCGTGTTGCGAGAAGGAAGCGTTAGGTGAACCATAAGATTCTGTTGTATTTCCTTACTAGTTCTCTCTTCTCTGCCATGATCGCCAAAGCCCTCTGCTCCATTCATCCATCTCACACGCATTCTGGCTCTACTCGGGTCACTATCCTGCTTGTCACTCTGCGTCCACCATTTACGCACAGCGAGTTTGTGACATCAGGTTTCCAAATAAACCCCAAGTCACCGGCCGAACACTCCGATCACCGTTACGTACCCTTGCACCCATTTCCAACATTCCAACACTCCTCCTCGGTCGTGACTTGCCCTCAAACCAGTTCCATTTCTTGAGCTTGCAAATGTCCTTGTCCCTGTGCTCCTCCATCCCTGAGCTCCTTGATCGCCCTTGATCGTCCTTGACCTTTTCTTAACCAATGCGCACGAGTGCGCGCAGTGTCGAGAGCTTCGTCGCGTCCAACGCCTTCGTGAGGAGGTCTGCAACCATCTGCTCCGATCTGACGTAGCTCGCCGTGATGATGCCGCGACGCGAGTAGTCGCAAAGGAACTTAAGGCGCACATCCACATGTTTTGCCTTCAGCGACGATGCCTCTCCCGCGATCTGCGCGATCGCCGCTTGGTTGTCCACCCGCAACTGCATCGGAAGCGTGGGCTCCACGCCCACTTTGCACAACATCTCGCGCAGGCCGAGCAGCTCGCGCGCGACTTCACTCGCCGCGACAAATTCCGCCTCCATCGTCGACAGGGAGACGCCTCCCTGCTTCCGCGCACCCCAGCTGACGGCCATCCCGTTCAGCATCACGATGCCGCCCGTCATCGACTTCCGGTCCGTCTTGTCGGCGGCAAATTCGGCGTCGCTAAACGCTTCTAGTTGCATCGCCGCACCTAAATTGTCTTCTGGGATCATCGTGATCTTAAGCGCCGCCGTACCCTTGAGGTATCGCGCGATGCGTTTAGCCAACTTCCAGTCTGCTAGTCGAGGCGCATGGGCTCGTCTCGTGACCTTGTGCACCGCAAACGCTATGTCAGGGCGCGTGCAACGCGCCACCCAGAGCAGCGAGCCGACCAGCGACTGAAACTGGCGCACAGTCGGTCCTAATTTCGCGCTTGGCGTCCCAAGAAGCTCCGCGTCGCCCTCCTCCAACTCGTAGCAGCTGTCGTCGATCGGCGCCCACGTCGAGTTGGCGTCAGCGAGTCCGTTGTCGCGTAAGAGGTCTCTTATGGCCTCCTCCTGATCGAGCGTGTACCCATTCTGACCGTTGTGCGTCACGCGCATTCCCAGGAACTTGCTGACACGCCCCAGGTCCTTGATCGACAACGACGCGAGGCTTGCAAAAAACCGCTCGACCGCCGCCGCGCTCGTCCCTGTCGCTAGAAGATCGTCGACATACACGCCGACCACGACAAGGTCATCGCCGTCGCGCTTCCAGTAAAAATACATGTCGCTCTCACACCGCGTGAAATCGGCAGTAGAGAGCTTCGAGTGCAGCAGCTGGCTCCACAGCCGGCCTGCCTGCTTGAGCCCGTAGAGGCTCTTCCGCAGCTCCAGCACCAGCTCGCTCGTGTTCGAAACGCCTTGCGCTCGTAGCGTCTCCTTCGAGACTGGCATGCCGCGCGGCATCTGTAGATAGATGCGCAGGTGCGGCTCCTTTTCCGCTTTAATGTAGGCGTTGGGGATGTCACCGTGCTTGGCAGGCACCCCCCACGTAGCTGCAAGCGCCAGGATCACTTTGACCGTCGATAGGTCCATCACGGCAGCGAAGGTGAGCGTGTAGTCGACGCCAAGCACCTGTTCGTTGCCACACGCCACCAGTCGCGCTTTCAGCCGCTCGAGGTCGCCCTGTGCGTCTGTCTTGGTCTTGTAGACCCATTTTGTGTGCAGCGCATGCTGTCCTGCCGTTCGCCTTGTGATAGTCCAGACGTCGTTGGCCTCGAGCGCGGCGATTTCCTCTTGCATCGCCTTCTTCCACCCTTCGCGCTTGTCGCTGCGCATCGCCTGTCCGTAGTTAAGCGGATCATGCTCGAAAGCAGCATTTACGACTTCTCCGCTCGCGGCTGTCTCCTCCTGACGAGCAATTGCTTCTGCTCGTTTCAACGCCCCGCGTGTTCCATGTGCCTTTCGCGTCCATCTCTTTCTGCTTTTACGCGTCTCCCTGTTGCCCTCTGCGCGACCATCGTTCGCCACTGCTGCTGCTGGCGCATCCGTCTCCTCCTGGTCTCCGGATCGATCGCCGACGTCCATCGCGCGCTGGAGTTGCGCGTTTTGCGCCTCCGTCAGTGTCTCGATATTCTTGATGTGCTGCGTGACGACCACTTTATTGTCACGCGGCAGCAACACCTTGTAGCCCTTGGTTTCCTCGCTGACGCCGACAATGATGGCGCGCCCCGAGCGCTGCAGCAGCGAGTTCTTGCGCGGGTCTCTATACACGCTGCACTGGGAGCCAAAAACGACAATTCCACGCAGATCCGGCGTCTTGCCCGTCAGCACCTCGAGTGGTGACGCTCTCTTTGCGTTTGCTCGCGTAGGGCTCCGGTTGAGGATGTGCACGGCGTATAGTACCGCGTCTCCCCAGAACATCAGGGGCAGCGCGCAGGCAAACATCATGCTGCGCGCAAGGTTCAGCACTGTCCGGTGCATTCGTTCCGCCTTGCCGTTTGAGGCCTGATTTCGCGCCTCCGACACTTGGCGCGCGACGCCCGTGCGCTCGCAGAACAGGTCCACGTTGGCGTATTCTCTGCCGCCGTCCGTGCGGAGCACGTGGACCTTGAACCCGAAAAGCTTCTCGAAGTGGACGAGGAACGCCTCGAACTGACTCGCCGCAGCGTCCTTCGTGCGCGCGAGGAAGACTCGGCAGTAGTTGCTCTTGTGATCGACGAAGTTCACAAGGTAACGATTGCCGAGTCGGTCCCGCAGCGTCATTGGACCCTTCAGGTCCGAACAGATGACGCCGCCGATGCGATCGATGGGCGAGTGCTTGCCGCTGTCTTGTTGGGACTGCGCGTTGCGCGTCTGCTTGCCCTCGAGGCACGACACGCACGCCATACGCTTGTTGTTGCTGAGCCGATGCCCGATGCCGGATCGCGCGCCATGCGTTCGATTGTGTCGAACGCAAGGTGGCCGAGTCTCTGGTGCCAGTGCAACAGCGAGGCTTCGTGCGGCTCATCGGCGTTGGTTTCCGTTGCATGCGCTTCGAGCGCCGCCATGATAGCGTCTCCGCCTGCACTTTCCTTGTCGCGCGTGGCCTTCGTCACGACATACAGCACGTTGCTGTCGATTGTGACATCGAACGCGACCGCACCATCTCTGCACCTAGCGAGCGAGCGCCTTTCGCCGGAGTGCACTAGGGCAAATCCTTTGTTAGCGAGCTTGCCGTACGACACAATGTTCTTTGCCAGTCGTGGCGCCAAGTACACATCCGTGAGCGTCACTACCGCTTCAGCGCCGCGCGCAAAAACCTCGAGGCGCACGCTGCCGACACGCGTCAGGTGAAGCGACTCGCCGTCTGCCATTGCAATCTCGTGGCTGCAAGCCGTCGACTTGAGCAGCAGCGACTCGTCGTTGACAAGATGCCGGCTCGCGCCGCTATCGAGGATACAGTCTCCTCGGTCGACGCCCGTGGCATCGGTCGCCGCAAGTACGAGGCCGCTCGTGCCTTCCGTGGCTCTTACTCCGTCGCTCGTCGTAAGCACGAAGCCGCATGAGTCGTCTATGGTTCGCGCCCCATCACTTACATTGGTCGCTGCGGCGTCCTTGCCGCGCGAGCCCTTCTTCCTCCTGTTGCGCTTCTTCGTGGTCGCTCTGCGCTTCTCGGTCAGTGCAAGGATCATGCTGGCGCCTCCACCCTCCGCGGGTGTCTTGTCTTCGTGCACGACTCGCGCGCGACAGTTGGCTGCGATGTGGCCTGGTCGCCCACATCGGTAGCACGTGATCGCGCCCTTGGGTTTGCCTTCCACGTGCGCGGCGACGACCTCACGACCCACCGCGCTGCTGCCGTGCTCAATGGACTGCGCGAAGTGTGCCAGCTCCTCAGCATGGCGCAGGTAGTCGAGTCGAGTGGGCTCATACTTGGAGCGCATCACGTTCACCAGCTCCGGCGAAGCGTGGTGGACGATGTTATCAAGAACAAGCGAGTCGGCACCACCGCGTGCCTCGCTGACGGCGACCATGTACAGGAAGTGCTCGGCCCAGGTGCGTCGTGCGTCCTTTTTGGCCATAAATAACTTCATCGCCTGGCTTGCAGTGATTGACGTCTTGAACGTGCGCAGGAGCTGCTCCATGATGTACTCCAGTGTGGGTGATTGCGTCCACCAGGTATCGACCTGCTTGTGATAGTACCTCTCAGCCGTGCCGGCGAGAAAGTGCCCAAGCAGGTCGACCTTGACGTCTTCGGTCCATCCGAAACCACACGACGCTTCCGCGAGGCTCACCGCGCGCAGAAACGTGCGCCCCCAGTCAAAGAATCCGCTCCCGAGTCCGCGGTACAGCTCCGTACCATCGAACTTGCGTATGTTCAACTTCCGCTGGCTAGCGGACGGCATCCCGTAGCCGTTGAGGCCCGGTCGCACATAGGCTTGTGGCGGAGCGAATTGTTGCGGCGGAGGTAGCGCTGCATGCTCCTGCGGGGGTGGCGCAGACGCTGGTACGCGCTGCTGCAGCTGCGGTGCTGCGCGCGCGCGAGGTGGCTCGAGCGATGCGAATCGCGACGCGCCAAGATCAGTCGCGCGCTGGTACCCACGTGGCACCGGTGCCTTCTCCTCCGCGTCTCCGATCGCGTCTATCGTCATCGGTCGGCCACGCATGTTGGCGCCGAGTTTCGAGGCGAACAGTCCGCTCTCTACGGCCCCGAGCATGCGCTCCTCCTCGTCTCTCACTCTCTGCGACGACTCGAGGCTCGCCAGTCGATCGGTGAGTGCGGCGAGCGCGGCGAGGATCTTATCGTCTCGCTTCCCGCTCTCGCGAGCGGGTCCATCGTTGACGACTGCGGGTGCGGTAGGCGCACGCGCTGGCGAGCCGCGCCCAGGCGTGGCTCGCGGGACACCCCCTGGTGTCTTCGTAGTCGGTTTGGTGGTTGCGGCCATTGGGCTCATAACCTGTAGGCAAGATGCGTGCTGCGAGAAGGAAGCGTTAGGTGAACCATAAGATTCTGTTGTATTTCCTTACTAGTTCTCTCTTCTCTGCCATGATCGCCAAAGCCCTCTGCTCCATTCATCCATCTCACACGCATTCTGGCTCTACTCGGGTCACTATCCTGCTTGTCACTCTGCGTCCACCATTTACGCACAGCGAGTTTGTGACATCAGGTATCCAAATAAACCCCAAGTCACCGGCCGAACACTCCGATCACCGTTACGTACCCTTGCACCCATTTCCAACATTCCAACAAAAGCTTCATGCGGAATTTAATATGCGACGTCTTGACGAGCGCAAGCCCTTCATTAGAGTCAACAGGACTCACAAGCATTCTCTAAGAGTCATGTAGCTCACATGAAAAGTTGAGAGGACCGATTCGAAGCTGATTCAGGATGTTGATGTGGTCGACTACTGATCTATTTTTATTAGACAACAAACAACACGTGCAAGTCGCTACACGACTTCCCATGAACAAACAGCACTCCTTTTTTTCGAGCAATATGTCACGAGCGAAGGTTGTGGCGATGTCGTCCATAGTTGCAGTACGTACTTACATTTGAGTTTGAAAAATAAATGGACAGGACATCAAAATATCAAAACCAAAGTTCAGGTCCAGCGTTCAGTGCTATGAAACAAACGGGTAATTCCATACTTGAAGCATGTCATGGAATCACTACACACGACCTTCTTGTTCAGAGCTGACTGACTATACCAGACACGCAATCAGCAACTCGACCGTCTGATTTGGTCCCCACTTACCATGAATTCACCGAATGTGAGTACTCGCCAGCTACACGTTCGGCAGTGCGTCCGCAGTATTCGCCGTGTTCTCCACGCACCCATTCGAGCTGCTAAAAGCTCACTTACAGACGTCCAAGCGAGAAAAAATAGGACTCTTCACTGCCATGCTACCAATCCTCCAACAACAGGGAGTCTACAAACTGTATCAGGGCATCTCTGGGGCAGTCATGAGAGAGGAGGGCACGCACTCGACCACACGATTTGCAGTGTACCACTATCAAAAGATGGCGCTGTTTGTTGGAACGACGGCAATTCGATTTCGACGGGACACAACGTCTTACTTGGAATGACTGGTAGGGTCATTGGTGGTATGGTGGGTAATCTAGTAGATATTGTGACCATTCGCATGCAGGTAGACAGTCAATTGCCTGCAGCGAAAAGACGCCATTATAAACACGTAGTAGACGGACTAATCCGAGTTGAGAAGGAAGAGGGACCCGCAGCGTTAGTGCGCGGCATTCGACCCGATGTCGTTCGAGCCATGATGCTTACGAGAGGACAAATAGCAGTCTTTGATTTGGTCAGATCAACAATTTTCACGAAGCATACGGTATTGAAACATGCCGATTTCATGACCTACGTAATGGCTGGTATGGTGGCCGGACTAGTGGCTACTACAGCTTGTGCCCCGGCTGGTGTGGGGAAGACGAGGTTGATGAACATGCACATGAACGAGTATAAAAGTGCCACAGACTGTTTGGTACAAGTGGTCAAGCTCGAAGGACTGCGAAGGCTGCACAAGGGGTGTCTACCAGCGTATGTGCGGCTCGGAGCACAGACGCTACTGACATTTGTGTTTCTGGAACAAATAGCCAATCGTCTTTTGTAGGCACAAGCACATGCGATACTCGATGGCTAAGAAAGATTGGAGATTGCCAGGGATGCTAGCATATCGCTGTCTCGTTCGACGCCAGTATGGCGTATAACATCGCTGGATAGTTCAGGCGTCTCTTTTGGGTTGACGGATGAGAGGCAACCCTACATGTTTGCTTGAGACAAGCTCCTTTTTATCAAAAAGGCAGGATTCAACTGGACGGGATTCGTGCGATTGTCCGGTACTTCATTCGCGTCGGTATGTGCCATCACTTACAGGAATGCATCGAGAAGCCTTCATAGCACACAAACATAATCATGTACAGACAATCACGCAGCATTGATGATCATTTTTGCCCGCAGTCCTCCTACCGTGTTATAGCAAAGTGAACAGACTCAACTGTCAGGTCTTATGATCGAGCTTTGCAGGCCTAAGGCTATGGTAAAATGAATTTTGATACGTTCGGTACGAATTTACCTTCAGCAATACACATATTCAGCTACCCGGTTAGTGCCGATATTCTCACAGCTTTCTCTGCATAAACGATCAGTGTTTTCGTCATGAGCTGCCATCGCACATGTTTGCAATCTCATTATTTTATGGCTATACGCCAATTCCACTTCGATCCGACGTCCATGATCTGGAGTTCATCGTGATCACGTGGCTAGCGCTGCTAATAAATCAAACTTCCGTTGCATCGCGCAAGATCCTCATGATCATCAGCTCTGGTAAAAGGCAAAGTCGCCCGCACAGAAGTTTGGATATATTGTTAATCCATTATTTGGATTACTGTACAAGTATGGCTCTGTATGACTAATGTTATTTTGACATGCCGTGTAGATGAAGCGCAGTACACCAAAAAAAAAGTGCCAGTCAATCAAGATACATTATGAAGTGCCTGCAAGTTTACTAGCGGAATGTAATAGAACAATTTGACTGAGTAAGTGCACATATCGATCGCCATGCCAAATTATATGACTACGTATCTTGATTGCTTGTAAATTTGGTGTGTGTGACAAACTTGACGGCAGTACTTCAAATTGCGTTATCGGGTTTGCTGTGGAACAGCAACGCCGTTACGGCGCAGATACCCAATCACTGAGAAAATGAGAAAATAATTGCGCCAGTCGCTGAGTCATAAAGAAGCGCGTGGACTGGTATGTGTAGATGGAGAGAGGTCTTCTAGCAACTACAAAATAGCAGCGTCCTTGCACTTAAAGCATCCAATTGGCCATTTTGCGCTCCTATGTATACATGTAGAATGTCATTGAGTCAGACAAGCCGACCTAGGCACATTAAGATCATCTTCAGCTGCGAACTCATTCTCGAAAATATGGTGTCAATAAACTTGTTTACTACTTTACCCCACAAACAAAACAAGGAAGCTCGTGTCGTCGTAGTGAAACGAAACATTCTCAGTCTATTTGTCTGATTGTAAAGAGAACGCATTCCGCGCGATAAAATTTGGCTAGCTGACTCTTTGCGCAGGAAGTCTCTTAGCGCAAATAGCAATCGTGCGAGATAGTGTGGGATACAACAATTCTGTCATATCTTGGCGATGCAGTGCTACTGCATTTATATCTAACAGGTCTTCTGTCGTGGTCCCGTTACGCTAGCTCAACCTTGGGATGTGATCATGTACATAATTTCAATTTTGAGGGGGCACACCTCATACCTGTATATATGGGCACAATCACGTCACTCGTCTTCTTAAATGTCATCAGAAAAACAGGCTTATTGGCAGTGGGAACTTCAGAGTCAGCTTTCACTGCCGCAATTTGCAAATTGCAGATTGTGGAAACTTCAAAGCCAGCTTTCACCGTCACAATTTGTAAAGTGCAGATTGTTCCGTGCAACATTGTCCTACCTAAGCACTATCCTTTGAAAAAACAAGGTTGGTACGCACTTGTAAGAATGTGCGCCACGATCGCACCTTATTGACTTCCATTCTTAGGACGGAACTCGATATCGCATTGACGCAACTCCGATTTTTTACATACTAACCTAAGCTGCACGTTGCAATATCACTTCCGGATACTGAACATCCTACCTTCTGCAAAATCATCATAATGCCCCTCGAAGCATTCATTGGTCTATACGGTACCGTAAAGTAGCCCATGTTGCACTTTTGACGGATGTCAGCGAATGCCGGCTTCAGGAATGACCGTCGAGTTTCAGCGCTCATAACGCTACAGCTGAAGCATGACTAATTACGCTTAGAACTACCTGCACACGCTGTCATAGATATCACGTACCTTGGATAAAGCAAGGGGGTGACAGCTTTGCGACCACTTTTTGGACCCGAGTCTAATTAAGCTTTTCCGAACGAAGAAACCGGACGAGTTCTTCAAACGCACTCGTCGATTCGCACAACTTTTCAAAACGTCCTATATACGCACGAGTAAAATTATGCGGCAGCTACTACGCTTACCAGGATGATTGCCGCTTATCGTCTTATTTGGCATACGTGTTGTTAGACATCCGCCCGTAGATCGATCGCACATCATTTGTAGAATGCCCTTTGTTCTCCCGCAATCTCCCTAACTTCATGGATCGCAATAGCAAGTGCTCTAGGTTCCATTCCTGCATGCAAGCTTGCGCATGGTGCAGAAGTCCAATTGTGTCTCAACATAGTATTCACTGAACGTCTTCTGTAACTCCGTTTGTTCGGCAACTCTTTCAGGGATCAAGCATTGCGAAGCAGCGCACGAAAAGGGGGTAGCCACCGAAATTGTCTGCGGCAATCTTCGTGATCGAACAGAGCTGTTTGAGGTAACATGAGGTGATTCTTTTCATCATGCTAGACATAATTGACACGCCACCTCTGGGTCAAACCTATGACATAGCTGTACATGTCCTAACTCTGATGACATACTAGAGCGCAGATACAGTCATATCCGTTCATGGTGATTTTTCCTGAAGGGTTCACGTACGTGTGCCAATTTACTGACGGCCTCTGCGTTCACTCCAATACAGTCAGACAGCCGTTAGGCCTGTCCTAATCATTTCTGTAGAGAAATACACATCCGTAACATGGGCGAGTCCAAGCCAGAATATCGAGATTCAGAAGTCTATTCGTGGCGGCATACGATAAACAAGTCAAGAACGCCGACCTCAAGTCTCGGTTACCTATCGCTCAGCCATCACTCATTATTTGCTGACTGTAAATTCCAATCGCCGTAAAGTATTGAAAATGAGCTACTCGCGCCCTCCTCCTCCTCCTCTGCACTTGGCTATTTGGGACGGCGACGTTGCTCGCGTGCGGTCCCTCCTCAACTCCGTGTGCCCCGAAAGTGCCGACTGCTGCGAGTCTGATCAAATCCAAAAGCTGAAAACCTCTCTGGAAATGAAAGACGTCCGCGGATATACGGCCCTCCACTTGGCTCTGCGCATCGTGCAGCCTAATCAACTTGCTATTGTAAAGCTCCTACTGGACCGAAATGCCAATGTGACGTCCCGGAACTTGGATGGCTGGAGTTGCATGCACGACGCAACGCTATGTAACGATGAATACCTGTTGGCTCAGCTATATTTGCAAGGCGAAAAGCAGCTGATGCAGTCGCTGGCGTCTAGTCAAGAGACGTTTATGCAGGCGCTCGAGCAACTGCCGGACTTTGAAGCAGATATTTTTCTTGAAGCTCAGTCGTGGGTGCCAATGGTGTCCAGTGTATTACCATCTGACACTATCCGGGTCTGGAAACGAGGGTCGCAGCTGCGGGTCGACTGGACGCTTAAAGGCTTGGATGGACTAAAGTGGACAAAAGGAGCCATGTCCCATGTGTTCTTGGGACGGAACGGTGGACAGAGAGCAGGTCATGCGGTCGTAATCAACCACGAGAGCCAGCAGTTTTATGACGTTCTGGAAGCCATGCACAACTCCTCGGTAGGAAACATGGACTTGGCTCTTCAAGTGATGCTGACAACGGCTATGTCGTCGTCTAGACTAATTTCTACCAAGCTGAGGTTTGTGGAGCAGAAAAAAGCCAAAGCCCGAGGAGAAGGAGACGAGAAGGCATTAATTGACCACGACAAGGAAAAGGAAAAGAGCCGCAGCCAACAGAGAAAATGCCCGTGGTCTGGAACCACCTACAAAATACGAGATTTAGCGATCGAAGCACAGTTCCGACCAACTGTAAACCCGAGTCGCAAACTCAAACAATTACCGGCCCACAAGGATGTGCCATTTGATGAAGTGCAGCAATTCGTGAATCACCTACGTATGGCCGTCCCTCATGGAACGGACGAAAAGAGTTCGACATGGCAAAACAGGCGTAGCTCCAGTGGAAGTGAATGCGAAGATTCTCCACAGATGCTACGTCTTGAAAAGGGACGCATACTTGAGATGCACTTGGACGTGATCGCAGGCGATACAGTTCGATGGAAATTTCTATCCAAGAAGAGTAACGACTTTTGTTTTGTGGCCACCATTATCCACGAAGATGATCAACAGCATGTGTGTCGAACTGATGGTGTCAAAAATATGGAAATTGCTGGGGCCTACGAGGTTGATCGCAGCGGAAAGTTCGTACTGATGTGGCAGAACACCCAAAAGGGATTTACTATTGACCGGAATGGCTTTGTAATCGATTACAACGTTGCGCACATTCGATCTGCGGTCGATCGTTCCTCAGTAGGCGTCCTTGCTAATATTGATACGTCAGGTAGTCACATGTCCGCGAATTCTTCAGAGTCACGTGGAGATACACAGATAAAAAATGTTAGCTTTTCCAGACTTACCGACGAGCAAAAGTGTGAGTTTTTCCGTCGATTGGATCATGTTCCGAATCCAATTACAACTACCACAGCGTTTGTTGACCACTTCAAGCTTGGCGTGGATTCTAGTGAGCCGGACATATTTCAGGGCAAGAAGTTAAAGCAGTCCATTTTGAACATGTTTGAGTACAAAACGCAATGCCGTCCACAAGCATCAAATAATTTCGTGTCGCGGAATGAAACAATCAACTCCGTATTCGAAATCAAGAGCGATTTTCGAAGTATGACCGCTTTGCCGCCGACGCACCGTGTACGCAAAAACTTCGAAGCCAAGGTAGTAATGGCCGAGACTTTTCCGTTCCAGCCTCAAGACTTTCTTCCTATCATCCAATTCATTTCCACTACGGGAGACCACGTGAAAAACCTCGAAGAGTTTTTTCAAATGGTACGTGATGGAGTTGCATCGCTTGCGAGCGAATTGTGCTAATCGAATTGTTGTTGTGTTTGATCTCACGACAGGGGCTTCCACCAGGTTTTCCTGTCAAGTTTGAGCTGCCGGTTTTGTTCACAATTCGTATCGCGTATACGTTTCGAAAGATTACTCTAAATGCACAGCTGGATCCAAAACTGTTCGACGTGCCAGAAAATTATGACGAAGTGTTTACATTGGACGAAGTGCGATCATGAACATAAACCGGACCAATTTTGTCACTCGACAGGCTAAGTTAAATGTTCGCTTTAACTTCATAGCGTTCATTCTTTTCATGGTTGTTGAAATTGTCGTTGAGACGGAGCTCCACATATTTGTTTGAAAAAAATCGATCAAATATGTGGAGCCCTACGGCTTTCGCGTGCAGTCGAAGATTAATCAAAATTAGCATCCCCTTTTATGTTCAAGTGATCATCTTTAAAGACTTCGTTGCTTCGGCCTCTCCATGTACATTTCAGCGTAAAGTGAGTGAGCGGCGTAATACCGAAACTCCACGTCTTAGCAACAAGTTCTGTGTATTTCAGAATCAGCGACTCAAAGAGGACGTCGCTTGTTGATCGGAGGACTCGTGAGAGTTGTAAACGGCTGATATAGTGCACGAAGTACTTTGGCATGAATGCTTCGATCCAACCATCAGAACAAAAGCTGAGCGACTCTTGTCAGATTATTGGCAAAGTTTGTCGTCGTTTAGAGGCCGCAGGTTCACCAACACCAACTGCCAAAGTGCTCGATAGGACAAAGCTGCTTCGTACATACAGAGTTGCCGGCTTCAAATAATAAGCGTGAAGGCATGTTTTTATAGCAGAAAGGTACCCGGTGGCCGTGTTGCGTTTGCTCACGGTCAATATTACTACTTCAACGAAATGTGTTCCGTTGTATTGCAACGTTGAATATCAAAGCTCCAGCAGATAACAAACTAGCTTGGTTTAACCTGTAGATGGTGCTATAAGTGATGTTGATTGCGAGTCCGAAGGGCGAAACTATCAGTAAGTGTGCGCAAGGTTCGATACCGAACTTTTAAATCGTACTTATCTGTGTGTCTGTGCGTGTGTCTGTGCGTGTGTCTGTGCGTGTGTCTGTCTGTAAAAAAATGCGGCTCGATGAACACTTACACGTCCTAAATACAATTTAGCCTATCCCCCTCATAGGTTGATTAGCATGATGAAGGTGTCACTCAATGACTAGGTCAATTTTGAATCGAACAAAGGTGAATGTGATTACAGAAGCAAATGCTAGATGCTTATAAGCACAGGCCGGTCGCATTGCCCAAGTAAACTGAACTAGGTAATTACAGACGTTTACAGCATCATACTCATTCTTCAGTGTCTACTGTTGTGTAGTGTTTAGTACCTTGATTCAGTTCTATGAACTGAATTACATAAATCAAAGGGCGAGCTCCAGAATTTGGTCCTCAATCTTAGGTACGCTTCCACCCTCTGGTGCGTACACACACTGTCGACCTGTTTAGATTGATCAAACGTGCCGTACTTACTCAGTGCTATATTTCAAATGCATTAGAAACGAAATATCAAGTATAAAGGCAAACAGAGCTGCGCATCATGACTTCCTTCTCATGCTTTATAGCTGGCGTAAAACCCAACCGTAAAACGGCACTCTCGGAGATATTACGATATTTAGACTGCTAAGGCCAGCGGACTATTTGCGAATGCATTATCAACTGTCATTCTAACTGCAGTATCAACATCGACAGCTATCGTGTCTACGCGAGGACGCATGTGACGGATCGTAATCACAAATCGAAGCAAATGGAATCCTTGTGGATTGCGTCGAGCAATGTAACAAGCGCAATGAAGGTACACGCAAGAGCGTTATTTTCTACGTAGATCGAAATCAACTACAAGTTTAACGTTTTTAGACCGTGCAGAACATTTGTTCATGATCACTACAACGACCGCTCCCCAGCACAACCGAATCCTAAAAAGTATCGTTTTCACACAAAGCATGCTCAAGAGGGTAGTGGCGAGACAGACAGATGAGTTCTCTGGTCATTTTTTAATCGCCGTATCTATTAGCAACAAAGTACGAATAGGCTGCTACAGTAACAACGTTGCTCTTATCAAACAGTAGTGCCACTGCTATAATCGTTCGCCACTGTATTCATTTTGACTGTGACGGTATATATACACTAGGTTCTTCGTGTTGAACTGCGACGATAACGCAACTCTTCGCTTTTTTTTTGTTATTCGCTAGCCAGCAAGAGAAAAGATAACCGAGGTTTTCTAGTCAAATCTGCGCGGCGCTTCTTTGAGCGACTTCTCGATAGCGTGTACCTATCATTTATCGTATACGTATCTATCGCCGTTTACGTACCCGCCGGTGGCGCCTCGACATTCTCTGCGGGCGGCATGAGAAATTACTGCGGTTGCTATTTGATGCATTGACATCACAATATCCTGACTTTCATTTTCTTCAGAATTAAGATCGCAGTGCTACTTTTTATTAGAGTGGGGCAAATTTGTCTATTTGCAAGTCCGTTATAATTTATGGTAAGTGATTAATGAAATAGTCCGACTGGGTGTGTACACCTGAAAGGGTGGGTGTGTACCGATAAATGTCCTAATGAATGAAACCTGCCGTTTCGCACTTGTCGTACTAAAAGAGTTGTGGGTAATTACAGCCTCCCGAAGCTGATGACTGGGATAGCTTGTTTGCCACTGTGGATTGCAGTGATCGGCTAAGACTTGTGCTCGACCAATGTTTTCAGCTTTGCGCAGCGATGATGTTCACGGTTACGATATTCCCTGGTAGTAGTAGTATAGGTTTGCACTCTTGGCCCCGGTGGTATTGTTTGGGTGTCGTTGAATGCTATGGCATTCGACCGATTTGCTCGCGTTACTACTCGCACGAAAACTCAGCGTGCAAGCTTGCTCTGCATCACTATGTATTACAATGTGTCATTCATTTGCTGTGTTGATACAAGCGTAACATAGTATTGAATTGCACTATAATTTTCATCGATCAATCAATTCTTCGACTTGTGACTTGATTGCGACAGCACCTTTATTCTCCGGCGGCATTATGCCAAGTGCAATCGAAACGGCACCTCCCAGACGACCACAGCTTGACTGAATGCATACCCACACCCTTCTTCAGCGTGCCGGATAGAACCCGAAGCGAGTCAGGTGGACATACGAGTATTCACATTCCTGGCCAAACCGTATCGTAGGACCATTTGCTTGCACGTTTCTCGACACCAAAAAGACTCGATACATTAAATCGTACAACAGGAGCACGCAGAAGTGCTTGCATAGAAAGAGTGACCGATTGACCGTGTGGACACGATCCTGTCTCTTCACATACCCTTTGATTCTCGCTACACTCGACTATCATCTACCGCTCTCCTCACTTACTTTCACCCCACGCTTGAAACGTTTGCACGCGACTCTTTCCACACCTTATTAAAGCGCAGCCTAAAAACAGCTCCGAACTCTCGAGGGACTCGCTGCGAAGATCTACGAGTTGAGGCAAAAGATCCCGACGCTGCGGTTCACCAGCAGGCAGGTCGCGACTAATCGAACTTAACAGCGAGCCACGCTCCCTCCGCTCTCGATGGTAGTTAACACCCGCAGCACTAGTCGCATGACCGAGACTGCGCTAAGTGTGTCGCTCTCGCCGCTGCTCCCGAGCTCTGTGGAAGACGGTACGCCGCCCGGGGGCGACGAGGCCAAGCGCGTGCGTTTCCAGCCTGTGTTCCAGCCCACACACACGGTGTTTACCCCCAGACTGAGCGAAACGGGCTCTCTGCGGTACCGGAAACCGGACGACCGCGCAGTCGGTAGCACGAGTCTCGCGCCCCCCAGTTCTGCCTCGTCGATCGCGCAACCGAATTACGACGATTTCCTGCGACGTGTGAGCGTCGTATTGTACCAGCACATCCGGCGCTGTGAGAAGCGATCGCGTGAGCAGCAACGGAGCGGTCTCTCGGGGGCCGCCAGTCTTTCGAACGCTATTGCGGCAGCTGTTTCCGCGCTCACGACATCGGAAGGCCACGAGGCAACGGCTGGTTCTTCCCCTATACATTCGATGGACAGAACAGCAGGAGACGAGGCGGGAGCTCTAGCGCTTGCCTTTGGGTCGAAAGGTTGTGGAGCGGAGGTACCACCCGAACTACAGGCGACGACTGCGAGCAGTCGGTCGTCTCCGAGGTTGATGGAGTTGCCCGTGGAGGAAACGTTTCTCGAAGAGCATTTCGTCACGCCGCAGTACAAGTACACGTTTGTGCGGTTCCCAAGAGTGCATCCCATGACGGTCTATAGAATGGCCAAGATCACGTCGAAGCGACATGTGCCAAGTGTGGACGAGATCTTCCGGTTCTGCAAAAATCTATTCAACAAGGCCCAACTGAGTGCCGAGTGCACCATTGTGTGTCTCATTTATATCGAACGCTTGATGGAGCAAGCCAATGTCCCGTTGCTAGCAGCGACCTGGCGTCCTATCGTGGTTTGTGGGCTACTGCTAGCGTCCAAAGTGTGGCAAGATCTGAGCTCGTGGAACGTTGAGATCAGCAATATTTATCCGCAATTCTCGCTGCAATCGATCAACCGACTCGAGCGGCTGTTCCTGCACCACATTCAGTGGGATCTCTACATCTCCGCGACCGTGTATGCCAAGTACTATTTCGCGCTGCGGTCCCTGACGGAGAAAAAGGACTTTCGACGTCGGTATAACTACACGATGCGCGTGGATCCGCCAAACTCGAAGCGGCTTGAAGAACGGAGTGCGGCAGTGAAACACGAACTTTACTCCAAGAGTCTCTGAGGAAGGCTAAGGTTTATATATGGAGTTAAATGACTTTGCTACGTGTTTGTCACGTTGTTTGCACCGAGTGCTTACGCTCTGTTAATCGTGATTATCAGCCGAGCAGCATCTTGCTGGCTTAAAGTGTAATTATAGAAGTGGCATGTGGTATTTTCATGCAGCTGTGTCGTTGATGAAGCGTTTGTGTATGCTCTGCCGATACATCACCTACCAGGCAAATACAGTGTTGCATGTCGACCCAACTAAACTATCGGTCCGAACTTCCGACCAATGCAAGGCAGTATTTCACACGAAGATTCATGACGATAGCAAATAGCTGTCGAAGAAACGCACATTTCCCTTGGAATCCTTTTGCGCTAGCTATCACTTCATCTATTTAGCCTGCCGTCCGGATATGAATTACGCTGTCCCGCGTCAAGCATACGTCTGAAACAGATCTATCAAAATGGTACCATAGAACCACTAGCAAACGCGATTTTGTGCAAATCGCTGGCAGTAAAAACCGTGATCAGTTTCAAATGGTAACTTTAAGTAACAAGATTAAGTCTTACTTCCACAGTAGCAGACAACAAATCGACGGTCCACCAAAATTTGAGAGAATCACTTTCGAGCGTATTGTGCAATACTTTGCAGCTCACTCGATCCTAGAGCAGGCACTTGTGCGTGTTTTTACCCGATCAAGAGGTCACGTGTTGCTGCAACTTACAACTTTTTGCTCCTTGATTGTTATTGTGCACAATCGTTGTCGATCAAATGCCGCATGTAGCTTGCCCATAGTTGCTGGATGTGCACATTCATGCTGTCCAGTATTGAGATCTTTTCAATCGATATGACAATCGTACGTACGATGCGGCCATGTTCGACGATTCTACGATGCATGCCACATTGTTGGCGATGCCAAGAATCGCAAAACCGGGACTATTCTTGTCCGCCAACTCATGAACAAAGAGGGTTTACAAGCTCGATCTTGCGTTGTACACATATTAAGTTTCCTCTCGGTAGATCTTGTCGTCCGGACCGCTGTCTCAACCAATAAATTGGAATGGAGAGCACCTTTGTGTTCGGTAATTGTAACGGGGTGAATCGTTACATAACAATTTATAAGAAATTGTTAATAGAATATAACTATAAGAGTTATATTCTCAGAATATTGTCATAAGGACAATATTCTGTAGCACTTCCAAGTAGTTCCTAATTGGTTGATATAGGCCATTATATCAACCAACGAAGACGCGCCACGACAGACGCACGCAATGAGTGGTGAGCAGATAACTGATTTACACATTTGTATTTAGACATAGTTAGATGAAGATAAATAGTGATTTATTGCAGACATTAACTATTATAAATACAGTTCTACTTTTACTCTAACCGAGTACTCGCTTCTTCTTACCGTCTTCCTCTGCACGTACGAGTGTACGTGAAGTTACGAGGCACCGCCTTATTCTGTTATCAGAATAAGTAGCTTGTACTGTCACCAGTACAAGCTTCAGGGTGCCCCGTTACACCTGGTAGCACTTCGTAGTCCGTCCAAGGACCGCGTTCACATCCAACATGAATATGTTGGATGATGAAGATGACCAAAGCTTTCACGCTACGCGTGACGGCTACTCCCATTTGAGCGATGTCGAATGGGATGCGGTTGAACGAATGGGTTCGACCATGGGCATCCATGCTGTTAGCGTCATGCTAGAGGCTCTCAAAAGAGATGCCCAACATGCTACTATCGCCAAGTTCATTCAAAATGAACTTGACGCAGAACGCGAGAAAGTAGCCTTGCTTCACCAACAAGGTTCTCAACAAGCAGAGTTGTTGAGAGAACAAGGTGCTCAACAGTTTGAACTGTTGAGACAGCAGCAGGCTGCTGCTGGCGGGTCGATGCACTCGCGTCGGCCCGAGACTTTGAAGATTGACATCTCAAAGTATAGGGGGGTCGAAGAAGACTCCCTCTTGAGATGGTTCGTCGAATTGGATGACGCCATAAGGGCGCGTCGCATCGACGACGGGGATATGCAAGTTGCATTTGCCCAGTCAAATCTGGCAGGACGTGCCAAGACTTGGGCACTGGGGCTCAAGCTGCACGACCCATATGCGTTTGGGTCGTTGGAAGTCTTCAAGTCGCGGCTCAGACAAACGTTTGAACCGCCTAGAGCTGAGTTCAGAGCTCGAACCGAACTCTTGAAGCTCAAGCAGGGTAAGCGTGATGTGCACGCTTACGCTCAACATATACGACATCTCACGAGTTGTATAAGTTCCAATCCGGTGGATGAACACACGTTGGTTTCGGTGTTCATGCAGGGTCTTGCGGATGGTCCCGTCAAGACTCACCTGTTCCGGCTTGAACTAGATTCACTAGAACAAGCCATTTCAATTGCGGAGCAGGAAGACTTCAGTCTGAGACAGGCTCGCGCCAGCTCGACATCATATCGTCAACCGAGACGATATGACAACGGAGGTCCAGAGCCGATGGAACTCTGTTATGTAGAGAGCGAGAAGGCTCGCTCTACAGGCTACAAGAAGTTGCAGAGATGCAACAGATGTCAAAAGACAGGACACTACGCTTACGAGTGTAGTGCCCCTCGTCCAGTGTCTCGCGACACTGGGCGTAGTGACCGTCCACCCATGAGAAAGGGGCAGGGACGAGGGTCCGCAGTTGGTGCAAAGACGCAACAACGGGATGGACCGTCAAAAAACGGACAGGATCAGTAGGTGCGGAGCACCCTACTGATCCAGCAACGTCAAGAGAATTTGTAGGCCTCTTGATGAAGGTTGCTCCCAACACACAGACATTGTGCGTTGCTGCTCTAGGTAATGAGATCTCACTCATTACCTTGAAACTCGAAGTGACGAATAAGTTGTCCCTTCGAGCTCTAGTCGATTGTGGGGCGTCCAACAATTTTGTGCGACGCCAATCGCTAGAAGATGGTCACTTTAAATTCAGTGAATGTGACACACCTCCTACGAGGATGACGGTACGTCTTGCGACAGGCGCATCCGTAACCGTCATGAAGCGTATAGTGAAGATTCACTATACGCTAGAAGATACCCAATACGACGATGACTTTATCGTATTGGATTTGGATGACAAATTTGATGTCATCCTTGGAATACCGTGGCTCAGAAGGTACGAACCACGGGTAAACTGGCAACATCGGACAGTAACGATGCCTGCCGCTTGTTCATCAGATGGCCATCTGATGAACGTTTTGGAGCGTCCACAAGCGTGTGGATGTACTACGAGTGAGTGCGATGGCCTCACTTGTGGTACGGTCGTTAGTACGACTGCACAAAACCTTAGTGTACCAAACGGTTACACTTCGGAGCAAAGTTCCGGCGGCTGTGAGGAAACACAGGCTGCGCCGAAGGTCCACCACTCGAATAAGTCGGGTGGACTGGGACAAAGATGTATCCCTAGAGGGGAACATCTAGAAGAGAAACAATCGATCGCTCAGGTTAAGCGAAACGATAATCCTAGATCGACTGGAGAGTCTTTCGTAGAGGATCTCGCTGTGGTTGCGCAACCCCAGCTAGAGGAAGTAAAGGGAATAAGTCCCAAGATTACAAATACGGCGGAAATAAGTTCCCCGAAACCCGCGGGAATAAGTCCCCGGGAAGACGAAGGAATAAGTCCTTCGAAGCCTGAGGGAATAAGTCCCCAGGAAATGACAGAGACATTGAATGTCATAGTCAATAACGGATCATGTGTAGGCGCTTATACACTTGATCTGATTGCGCCTCCGAAGTTAACTTCGGAGATCACTCAGTTGCTAACGCTCGAACATAAAAGGTTCTTGCGTGATCTGCGTAGTGGCAAAGTCAAGCAGATCTGCATACTCGTCGCTGACGACGAGTATGTAACCGACATAAGGTCAGCAACAGTGTTTACTGAGAACGAGAGAGTTCTCAGTAGTTCATCTATGGACGAGAGTGTCCTAGATGAAAAGACACGAATTGAGCGATATGAGTCCCAATCATGGGAATCGCTCAAGGAAAATCCTCTCTATGAAGATTTGGTTGAATTCAAGGATGTATTCCCTGAAACTGTTCCGTGCGAATTACCGAAGGATAAAGGTATTCGACACGAAGTCGAGCTTAAACCAGGCTCGAAGTACTGTGTCATGAAGCAGTGGCCACTGCCTCGTGAACAAGTACTTGCGATCGACAAGTTCTTTGCCGATCGTTTAGCAGCGGGCCATGTGAGGGAATCAACTTCCCCACATAGCTCTCCGACCTTCTGTGTGCGAAAAGCAACAGGAGGGTGGCGGATAGTGCACGCGTTTAACAAATTGAACGCTGCAACGGTACCGGCTCAGACGCCGATACCGAGGAAGGACGTAATCATTGATGGTATGTCAAAGAGTACCATCTTTTCGTCCATGGATTTGATGGATGGCTTCTATCAAATCCTAATGCGGGAACGGGATATACCCTATACCGCAGTTAGCACGCCTAGCGGCATGCTCTGGGAATGGCTAGTAATGCCACAAGGGCTCAGTAATGCCCCTGCCACGTTCAACAGGTGTGTATCACATCTGTTGAGGCCAGTACGAGAATTCGCGCCGAGTTATTTCGATGACGTATTCATCCATAGTCGAGCTATGGATGGAAAGTCGGACGTTGAGGTTCACAAGTACCACGTCCGACAAGTTCTTACAATCATGCGAAAGCATCAATTGTATGCAAACCTCAAGAAGTGTATATTTGCAGCAAGCGAAATACCACTTCTTGGGTGCATCGTTGGTAAGAACGGTGTACGTCCTGATCCCGAAAAGATCAAGGCGATCACCGACTGGCCCGTGCCGGTCGATGTCAAAGGTCTTCGAAAATTCCTTGGGCTAGCGGCGTATTTGCATAAGTATTCACGCAATTACGCCGAGATGACTGTACACCTCTCTCGTTTGTTGAAAAAGAACGAGAGGTGGTTATGGAACGCTGAATGTCAACGCTCCTTTGAGGGTATCAAGCAGAGCTTGATACAATCCCCAGTCCTAGCAATAGCC